CAAAAACTTTTATTTTGGATGCGATTAATCGTTTGACAACACTAGTTTTTATATATTTCCACATAACATAACTATAGTCAAAAACAGCTTATGCCAAACAGGTTAAACTGTTGGCATCCATCATCCAGAAGGAGGAAAACTCCTGTTTCAGTGCAGCTGTGAGATATTTGTTTGTATAATAATATGTAATGGCCAAATATATTTGGATTTATGCAACAATGAAAATAATGTAAACCGTGCTGGTGCTCACTTTTTGTAAACTACGCTGAAACTAATCAGAAATGTGAATGCGACATGACTCTGGAGTCTGGAAATATACATGCTTTCATTCCCCACCCCCGCTCGCAAAAATGAGTAGTCATACACACAGGATGATAATTAATAAATTTACTCCCACATCTAAACATGGTTGTAGTAACAGAGCTATGAAATGATGAGGATCAGTTAAAGTTAAGTCATACCTGCTCAGCAAGCTTCCCCAACCTATGAGGCTACAAAAGGAGAGGAAGATGTGATGTATAAAAGTTAAAAAAGTAAATTCAAAAACGAAAAAAGAAAACAAAATAATAATAATAAAAAACCAAGATAGAAGGTTGAATGAGTTACATGACTAGTAAAAGGAAAAAAACTGAACACTGGGGATGCAATTAGAGTATGAAATCAGATGGGTCACATTCTGGCCTATACTGACCTGTAGGCAGACTGCGAGATTGACCCTGCAGCCGAAGGCAGTGCTGACGGCACGCGGGTGCAGCCCCACATCCTTAAAGAGCTTACAGAAGGACTGTGTCAGAGCAACGCGAGGCCTCTCTTCCGCCACAACCACACATGAACGCACACGGATCAGATCCATCCCACGGGCCTGAGAGAGAGACAAAAATACAGGGGTGAAATAGGAAGCACTGATAATTTAGTATCACTAAGGTACTATTACTTATAATTTTATTAATATTTTGAATTCATTTTTATTTGTACATTTTTTTCATTTTCATTAAAGCTTTTGTTGTGTGTTTTTTGTAAATATGTATATATATTTCGTATACATTTTTATTTCAGTTTTAGGTTTTTTTAGTACATCAAGTTAAAATGTAGTAAAATGAAAAATGCTGCCTTGTTGAAACAAAATAACTTATGTTACTTCAGTTAACATTTATTTTATTTCAAGTAACGAAAATGTTCTTTAATGAGATGCAGATTAAAATTCTGTGTGAGTGTGTGTGCGCGTACCTTTAGAGAGTCAGTGAGAGAGCTGAGAGATCTCGTGCAGAGCTCCATCACAGAATATGAGCAGAATGTGTCTCGGACTTTAAACTGACTGACGGACTGCAGCCACAAAGCA